TCTGCTCTGTTTTTCATTCTCACTCCTTTCTTCAAAAATGAAATTTATCAATTTTGTGAGTTCAATCATATTCCAAGAGTTATTTACAGGAGACATTCTGACGATGTAAAGTAAAAACTCATTTTCAACCTTTGCAGCGAAAAACTCTTTACAAAAAAACACATGCAAACCAAATTGAAACAAAGCCACACAAATTACTATAAACAAACCAAACAACCTAGACACACAACCACACACACACGCACACACACGCGCGCACACACAGTAACACAAAACCAGACATAACCACACAGACAAACACCAACTAGCTCACCCATACATGGCGTTTAGCAAATTAACACCTAGATAGCACGCGGAGATAAAACAACCAATATAAACAAACACCGGCCTTCGTGATAAGCTAGAAACAAAAACAACAACAGTAACATCAATGAAACCACTAAAATAAAAATACATCAGCAACACAACAGCATCTACATTAACAAAATCATCAGCAACAACATCAGCAACCATTCATCCATCCATCAATCCATCCATCCATCCATCCACCCATCCAAGCATACATCTATCCATTCATTCATCCTTAATGCTTGAGCAATTTGTATATAATAGGCTCATTGAGCTTGTGTGTAAACAAATAAACGAAGAAAATGTTTGCCAGTTTATGCATGTTTGTTTATATTGTATATACTGAACAGAAAGTATACACGTTTTGTATTATACGTATATTTATTGTATTTTTGTATGTGCAAGTATAGTACGTATAATATATTGTATGTCTTTGTATGCGTGTATATGTAGTGTATGAATAATGTATTGTATGCAATTGTATTGTATGATTTTGCATTGTATGTTTATTTATTGCATATTTTTATTATAAACATTTGCATGGTATTAAAATTACATTTTTAACTTTTTGTCAAAAATAAATTTACAAAAAATTACATATTCACACACACAAATACATAAACACACATACAAACATGTATAAGTACAATTGTTTACTTATTTATTAATATAAGATGAATATTTCTGACCGTGATCATGGTTTTTGATTGATACAAACACACACGTTTATATGTGTGTCTGGATTAAATCATAAATGTTAGCATGAACAATTATATATGCTACTTGTATGTAAGTTTCATCTGTTTTATCTGTGTTTGTTTGTGTGTGTTTTACTGTCTACATAATTATATGAGTGTCTTGGCATCTTATATGGCATGACGTTTTCACATGATAAGGATGATTAGTTCTTTGCATCATCAACTTATCAATTGTAATCAGCATCATCAGCACTCTCAGCAATCATCATCAACCATCATACATATATATTATTATATAGTTCAAGGATAGGTAAGGCAAACATTAATTACCAAAAATCTATATCGATGATGTTGTAATATAATTAAAAGGATGGCGATGATGACGACGACGATGATGATAACATTGTTAATGTTTATGATGAAGATGATATTAATGATAATGGCAACGCTTTTGAAAATGATGAGAATGATTTTGATGATAATGTGCTAACTGCTGATGACGATGATGTGGATGACGTTGACTGTGATGGTGACTTATATTGTTGTTGATGTTGTTGCTGTAGCTTCTGTAGTTGCTGCTGATGTTGAAGCTACTGCTGCTGATGATTATAGTGATGAAAAAGAGAGTATTGATGGCGATGGTGATGAAGATAGAGATGATGAAGATGATTTTGCGCCAAAAAATAAAAAAAATTCTATATGCTTAGAGTGCAAGAAAAAAAGTGATGCCGAAGCTTATCTACATAATTACATGTATGAATTCACAACGGGCGGTTTATTCGAGGAATTGTATATTTTTATAACTAAATGTATTCATGTACGTGTAACATGTATGTAGATTTTATGTATGTATGCGTGTGTATGTATTTTTAGCGTATGTGTGTGTGTATTGTCGTGTATTGTGCATGTTGTTGTCGTGTATGTCTGTGTACACATGTTGGCATGTATGGCTTTATTTGCCGGTTTGTGTGCGTGCATTTGCGTCTCTATGTGTGTGTGTGAGTGTGTGATGTAATAAAATTAATGTTAAACAAATTTTCTTTTAGCATTTTTGCATTAAACTTTCTCATTGCATTAAACTTTTTCATTGCATTCTAATTAGACAACAATCCATATTTTATGAAAATTATTTATCTCATATACTTATTCTAATCGACAAAACGATTAGTTTTATAATCCAACAAGGCTTAACTTTAAAGCAGAACTCCCTCATTGAACTATATAGGCAACCATAATTTTATAGCAGACTAAAGAAATAGTAAACACGTTTCATCATTCATACACGCTTGTGAAATGGATGAAGGATGGGACAGCTTGATTCAGTCAAAATGAATAAACCCATATCTGGAAATATTTTGTAGAAGATTCTAGCACTTAAATTAAAAATATTTATCTAGAGATGTTTGTATACGTATATAGAAAAAGAGAAAGAGAAAAATGAAAGAAAGAGAGAAAGAGAGAGAGAGAGAGAGAGAGAGAGAGAGAGAGATACAATAAACATTATACTCAATCGAAACTCTATATGGATAAAAATTCAAGCCACTTTCATCATAAATCAAGGAATTGAATGTAAATTTTATGGCTGTGCATAAAAGTTCGTTAACATTAAAGGCTTGAAAACTGTTTCTAAAAGAATTAATTTACCAGATATAAAATAAACCTTGAATAGAAAAATTACTAAAATTGAATTAGAAAATTTCAGAAAAATAAATGTGTATACCAGATTTAATAACTTTACAGCGGATTTGTTGGTAACAAAAAATAATTATAATATTATTATTCTTATTAGTAATAACAATAATAAAATTAATAATAAAAATAATAATATTTTCAATAATAATACATAAGTGATTAATGCGTTCAGCTCCGAACGCGTTCATATATGCGGGATTGAGTTATGATACGAAGTGCAATAAATTATGCACAATTCAGTCTGAATAAATGACTGAATAAATGAATGAATGTATGAATGAATGAATCAATCAATCAATCAATCAATGACTGAATGATTGAATCAATGAATGAATGAATGAATCAACGAATGAATTTCTGATTTGAAGATTGTTTACTTCCACATAGATACAAATAAAGAAACAACTTTCTTTTTTTTCAATAAACTTTTTTCAGAACTGGGGAATCATTTTTTTTTTCTCAACCAACCACCGAACTTGTAAATAATTCAGTCAGATAACTAACAAACCAACCAAACCAATCAACTAACTAGCTGATCAACAAAACTATCCTTAATTAACAAATAAAATCAGACATATGAATACACAATATAACACTAGGTATTAATCGACAAACTCAACAATAAATCAAAACAATGATATATCTGTGACATTTAATATAAATGTTTATACATTAGAAAACCCGTTTATTCGGACCACCGGTTACTCGAACCAACCGCAAAAACTAGGTTTCATTAAATTAATATATACATGGAATCCCACACAAGAATCAGACGTGCATTATGTTGATATTAGAATTTTAGAAACAATTTTAGAAACACTCAACACTCTTGTTACATTAGTATTGGCACGCCAAGCAACTTATTGGCTGATAAACATTTTTTTTGTCTATGAGGAAATTATACAGTCTCAATGTTCCATTTATTTGGTCTTTCCACGAAATTATTACACAAATTATATGCATTGGGATTTAACGGTGCAGTAAAACCTCTCCCATAAATGGTGAAGATAGGGAGTTATATCCGAGATAGTGATTAAAATAGAAGGGAAAAAATTGCGTCAGCAACAACAACAACAACCAACAATAACAACAACAATAGTAATAATAGTAATAATAATAAATATTATTATTACTACTAAGAATGAAATGAAAATAATCTTCCGTCTTATTAAAAAATGCAATAAAGCTCTGTTAGGACAAAAATATGAAGAAGCTCGAAATAGGATTACGTCAACAAACTCAACGAAATTGAGGAAATGACTGAAAGAAGAAGGGAAGGAAAAAAAGAAAAAGAATGAAAAACGAAAGAGATAGTGAGAAGAAAAACTGAAATGAAAAAGACAAAAGCTAGAATGAAGAAAAAAGAAATGAAAAAGAAGATAGTAAAAGCGAATAAAGAAGAACAAAGAGAGACAAAGACATAGAGAAAGAGATAGAAGTAGAGAGATTAAAAAGAGAGAGTGAAAGAGAAAGAGAGAGAAAAAGAAAAAGGAAGAAAGCCAGAAGAAAAGCCAAGAGGAAGAGAGGAGAAAGATAGAAATAATAATGTATAGGCACATATCAAACTAATTATCATTAGGAAGTTGAATGATGACACATTTCATAATTACATACATTGCAAAATTTCGTCTTTTTGCATTCAAATGGACAGAATTAACCTTTAAAAACCAAAATAAAAGATTTATAAAACGTCCCATTTCAATAATACCATCACGTATTACGTCAATTAATTAATTTATTTATATATTTATGAATAAAATCATCACAAATATTTCTATAGCGCTTTTCACAGACAAAGTTTTTTTTCAAATAACACCAAAGAAAAGCCATACAGGCATATCTCCGTAACCCATAGCAACGTACAAACGCGCCTTAAGTACCTTGTGTTATGTGCACGTGATAAGTAGTTAGGTGTTTTTGACTGCTGTTAGTTTATGGTACATGATTAGATTTAATGCTATCGAGAATTGTTTGCTATTTTTGTTTGATTTCTCTCTTTTCAATAACTCTTTTCAAGGGTAGCGACATGAGACATTAACTAAAAAAGGCAAAACAAATGCATAATAAACAGCCAACAACATCAAAAACCAACAAGCGATATCACTAACAATTGGCAAACAAACTGACAATCAACATCATTAACGAACAAAAAAACAACATCAATTACATTACATTAAAATTACATTAAGGAACAACAAACAGGCAGACAAAACCACCAAATAAAACCACCACCACCCCAAATCAACCACCCAAACACAAAAAATGACAACAGTGGAATATGGCGGAGGTGCAAATTTGCAACAGAGGAAGGAATTTTGCGAATTGGATGACGGAGCCAAAATACCTGGGTGAGTGAGTGAGTAAAGTAAATGGATGAAGGAGTGAGAAAAAGAACGAATGAGTGAATGAATAAATGAATGAGTGATGGAACGCATCTTGAGTGAATGAGTGAGTAGGTGAGTGAATGAGTGAATGAGCGAGTGAGTGAATGTATGGATGACGTTTGCCAACTAGATGTCAATCATCTCTTAATTTATTGCATTTTGAAAGCAAATTTTCTTCGTATTTTTCTTTTATAGTTTTTGTTGTTATATCTTTTAGACTGCTTAGCGTTGTTTTGCCTTGAAGTTAATGTTTTATTTAAATACAGCACAGCATGTAGTAAGTATTGAATTTTGCAGTTTTTATAACGTAAAAATAAGCATACCATATGATTGGATAACTTTGTAAATGATGATACAACGATTACGTGGGTGAATAATTTTATAACATCATTTAATGAGATGACGTAAATTTTCAGTTACAAAGGGTACTGTCCTTCGCTTAAGTTCACATTCGGGAAGACCTTTGCAAAGAGTACCAGAGATATCAGTGTTAATTACTTTTTAACTTATTAAAATGAACTCCATCAAAATATTTGTAATTTCCATCTTACATTTAAATGAACATTTGATACTTAGATATCAATTTGATATCGCTTTGATATATCCAAGTTTCGATGTATCAAACGCAATAGACTACAACAGGCCTCGTAACAAAACTACCTTTTCAAACAGAGCGAAAATAAAAAAGATTACAACAACAACAACAACAACAACAACGCCAATGTCTACTCCAGAATGACAGCAAAACAACAACAACAACTGCTTCACCCAAATGTACCTGAAAACAACGGAAGGAACAAATACAGCAAAGATATGGTATCCGGATACACGGGTAATGTTCTTTCTTATTAGGTAACAAATCACTTTTATTGTTGGAAATTTTGTTCCGAACGAGATGAATCTATGTGTGCATAACGTTCTAGTATTTTTTTTTCATATTTTATCGATATATTTTTAAATTTGTTTTTTTATTTACATTATAATGTAACACAAATTGGACCGTAGGCACTTACTACGTCCAAAATTTTGAATCTTTTCAAATTAATAATTACGCTTTTTCAGTTGGAGGTAGACACGATCTTTGTATATCGAGTAAACTAACCCAATAACCTTTCATAATAATTGCCGAACTTACCTACAAGCCATTAAAAGTAAAGTAATTCATTTAAAATCAAAACTTTCAAGGTTTCATTCCCAAGTGTTCGACGAAGTTCGGCAAAACATACAGAGAGGAGTGCGAAAAATGTTTCAGCGAGCACTTCCACGATCTGGAACTGTATAAGGACAGACGGAACAGGAATAAGATGACATCCCAGCAAACTTCGGGACTGCAGGCCTCTCATAGGAAAAATAAAGAAGAAATTTTGAGATCTATAAACGAGTACACTGATAGTCTCACTTTCAATGGTCAGTCCTGTTTATGACCGTTTTTCATTTCAAAAATTTGTGAAGATAAAAAAAATATAAATATTCAAGCTCAAAATACGAAATAAAAAATAGTTCTTTCTTTCGGCAGAACTGCGTATAACATAAAACATTAATTGCATATTGGGCCTTGAGTTACGAAGACAAATAGCCAAATGAAAATAACGAAACCAATAAATAAATGATAGTAGACATAATAAAACGTAAAAAATAAACTTTCCACTGCAAACCAGGTGCAAAGAAACCATTGATTGAAGCACCGATTATCGGCTACACAGGATTCGTTCCCAAAAAGAACACGACGGAGTTGGGATTGGGAGCATCCTACGGAAGAGCTGCTGAAAAAAGTTTGGAAAAGTTCGATCTGGAAACTAACGCGTACAAGAATAAGATTGCATTCCTGGAAAACAACGTGACGTGCTGTTGCAGATACAAATGAAATGGATACACAAATAACAATCGCATTAAATGCACATTAAATTTGACGTATTTGTTACCTATCGAGGGTCTAAATTTTAAAATTATCAGGTACAACCATAGACATAGGATAGAAGTTACTGAATTTATTTATCTCCTTCTACGTAGTTATTTAACAAATTTAAATGTGTCACTTTTTCAGAATAGACAATATGAGGAAAGAAATATTTTATTAAAAAGTAGTTATTTGTAATATTTTTTAATGTTTCAACACATCTATTGAGTAAAACAACTAGAATTCTGCACTCTGTTCACGATTTATTATATATATATTTTTTTTTAATTTTTATTTATAGGTGACAAGAAGTTGAATTTTAAATCAAAATTTGCAATCATGTTTAATTTTAAAATAAATCTTGAACCAAATTAAAAAACAGCAAAATTTATTTTAAAAAAAGAACTTTAATGACAATAATTACAGAGACAAATCAATGTTTTAGCATTTTTCTTTTGCTGACGTAGGGTTTAACAGCAAGTTGTGATGAATTTGAGTGATAATGATGACCATTAAATGATGATGACGAAGATGATTGGAATGATGTTGGTGTTGATGAATGACCAGCTGGTAACGATGATGATGGAAAAAATGACAAGGATGATAATGGTTTGGACGGATATGACGATGACGACGAAGTTGATGATAAATTATTCTGCATGTTAAACTGTTCGTTGGGCTTGAAGACAAATTTTGATTTAATGTAGTCGTATTTGATGTCGGCTGATATGTGGTTCACTGGTCTCTTTCTGTAAATAGTGCAACAAATAAATGGCTCAAGTAAATAGTGGTTCAATAAAATGATTAAGTTTTTAAAACAAAATTAATAATATTTAAAATTAACTTAAATGAACTATTTAAAGATAAAAATTGAAGATTATGTAAATATATTAAATAAAGTGTATGAGTTATATATGATTCAGTGCTTTCTTTAGTATTTCTCAGAAGCTTCAACAGCAAAAACACAGCACATGTAAACAACGCTTCACACACATTGCATGTTATAGACGAGGATCATTTTGCATTCAAACAGAGTCACTATGACAGAAGAGCCAGGCATCTTAACCATTACACCGTCTTGGATGATAGTTAACTCTAACCTTGTCATAGATCTTCTAACTTTGTAAGGCAGCCAGATTTTGTTGTGCAAGGTTTGAGACATGGTAGATGAGAGGTTGGTACGAATTTTCGGAAGCAATCTTTTTTTTCTCCTTTCTTCTTCATATTCTTTTGTGGTCGAGTGTTAATCAAAATTATTATTATGGTTATAATTTTTAATACAACTATTCGTAGTTATTAATGATTATAATTAGAAACATAGATATCATAGACTCAGCATGCTTTCTTCAAAAATAAAATTCAAGTTTCTTTGTCATAAAAATCAAAATATGATAAAATTGATTAAGATGTTTATAAATAGAATGATATTAGTTGAAATTGCAAATATGGTAATTATGGTGATAGTGAAAACTGTTACAACTACCATTATTTTCAATCATCACTCAGGTAAGAAACTCATCATCATAATGGTTAAGTAATAAACGACAATGAATAGCATAACATACAATACAATATACAATGTATATGCAACACAAAACATATAATCGCATTAATATATATATATATAATATATACAATACAAATCATATAATCACTTTATACATATAAATGATGAGTAACATTAGGCACTGGATAAATTTAACTAAAATCCTCTACTATGCAAAAGGAGATCATCCTTAGTTGGTCCAATGACGTCACTGCTGACGTTTTTGTGGCTGATGTCGCTAAAGTTGTTGCTGTTTGCGTTCATGACGTTGCAGCTGCTGCTGTTGATGTTGTAGCCAATAGAATTTGTTGTAGAATTCGCAATACTGCAAGAATGTTGAGAGTTCTTGTTCATCATTTGGCTTGCTTTGTAATGTAGTCTCTTAATCCTCTAGATAGGATCCAATCATTCAAACACTAATTAGTACTAATTTAGGAAATTATTAGTAGTATAGTAGTGCTGAAGTACTACGTATTGGGTAGGCATTTTAAATATATGTAAGTATAGTATATGAAATTTTTAAGTTAAGTGGTTTTGGGTAGAAACAGAGTGAATGAACGATTGAATGAATGAATGAATAAAATGAGTAAATAAATAGATGATTGATGAATGAATGAATAAATAAAAAAAGAATAAAAAACGGTAGCATATATACGCATAAAAGGATACGGTGTGCAAACCAACCAGATCATTCATTTTAACACTCCATAAGATGTTTCCTCGAGATTTCTCCACAGTCCTAATCATTTCGGCCTCCTAAGCAAAAAAAATTTACAAATATTTATGGTAAATATAACATAAAATATAACAGTAATAATATAAATAAATATTGTAATAATAATAATATGGATAATTATAAGAAAAAGTAATTCCCAAATAACCTTAGCCATTGATAGACCACAGCTGATTTTAAATTCATTTTCTTCTTTAGTTTTTTTGTCTTTCAAACTAAAATTTTTTTAAAATGAATGAGTGAATGAGTTAATGAATGAATAAATAAATGAATTAATGAATAAACTTTATAAAAAATTTATGCTAGTATATGTGAAATTTTATAATTATTAGCAACCTTTGAAAATCCTTCTCAAGAATGAAATAATATGAAAAATCAATAATTTTCAATCTGTTGGTCTTCTTGAATGCTAAGAACTTTTCTTTGTGATCAGTTCTGTGTGAAAAATTTGATTTAAAAAAAGCCCATTAAAAAATTTATTACAGAAAAGCCTGTAAGAAATGTTGGTATTGTAAAAATAATATGTATATAATAAAAGTGAAATAAAGAATATAAAACTAATATCGCCAACAATAATAACAGTGGTTTCATTGGACCAACTAAAAATGACATAATGATGAAATAACTACCTACTTTGATAAATGCTCTATAAAATCCCAATTAAGAAGAATGTAAAAGTCTTCCTGAGAATTTTTCAGAAATTCATCTTCACAGAAATAGCACCAGAATTTTGTGTCGAGTTCAGCTGATGTTTGTGAGTTTTTCATGACGAATTCAAATTTATCAGTCTGGCATTTTGATATTACCGACTTAACCTGTATTGTTGTATAATATTTTAAAATAAGCATTAGTCAGTGATAAATATAAATACATTACGATTATAACATTGATTAATGGCATCATATTCTATTATATTATAGTTTAATAATTAATTTTATTATAATTCATAATAATCAAACAAATAAAAAGGAGAAGGGGCATTTACAAGAAATAAAACAAACTAAACACTTAAATTTTTAAATGGTTCAGGATCGTTAAACTTAAACTTAAACTTAAAGTAGTTACTAAACTTACTTGAATTAATAAATTATTCAAACTTTTATAATTTAATTAATTAATTAAATACTTAAAAGGTTTAATAATTAAAAACTGAAATGAAACAGCAAACAAACAAACCCAAAGCAAACCTTATCTCTAAACTTGTCCAGTGCTTTCTTAACCAGTTCAACATGTTTCTTTGAATAAATATGAGATTGACCTTTATTATGATTGACATTGCAGACGGTGCAACGCTGAAATTGTCTAAAAGACATTCTGAATGAGAATTTACAAAGCTATCGCTAGGCAGTAGAAGAATAGCTGCTTGTTTATGTTGAGAACGATAACAAAACAACATATAGAATATATATTTACAAAGAGATGTAAAATTCATAGATAAATAAAACGAACTGCAATCATTTCTTGTAGCTTGTAAATATTTGCATAGCGCGGCAAAATTATTATTTTACTTGTTAAAAGCATTTTATTCATCATAAAAATTTTTATTCACTTTTAAGATTTGTTAGGTAAGTTAGATAGGGATAATTTTAATTGTAGGTAGGATAGATAGAAACATACAACATTAATGTAGTTGAATAGGTAAGTTTTGACTCTTTCTTCTATACTTTCTTGGATTTTCGTGTCTATTGAGTTTTGTTAGAGTACGGTAGTCGAACGATTCCGGATTTCAAAGTCCATTGTACGGGGACAAGCGTTGGTGGCCAAAGCTGGTGGCAGCGCGAAGGATCGATTATGGGCTTGTTGAAGTTCATAGAGTCCACAGTGCAACTACCCTAACTAGAAATACAAATTTGTAGGTAGGTGAGATGAGTTAATCATCTTAGGTAAGCTAGGGCTCTGAGAGTAGTTTAATTGTAGGTAGGTGTCGTGAGTTCTGACATGTTTTAAGACTTATAATTTTTTAACAATTAAATTTTTAAATTGTTTCAATAAAATTTAAAAACAAAAAATCATTGAGTTGAATTTCGTTTAAAAAAACGAAATCGAGTTGATTAATTGATTAGTCGATTGATTTATTGAACGGTCGGTTGGTAGATTGCTTGCTTGATTGATTAATAAATGTTTGGATGGATGGGTGGTTGAACATTCGAATTTATTAGTTGCGTTTGGTTGATTTTGATTGGCTAGTTGATTGATTGGCTAGATTTGTATCCTACGGTCTAATCATTAACCAACCAAGCAAATTTATTCCATTTATTTAATGCAGGAATAATTTGTTTAATCATTTTTATCTAAAACGAACTAAACAATGAAATTAGTTGAAACATTGATAAAAAAACAAGCCAGAACATCAACAACAAACTGAAACAAAAAAATGTTCTTTAGAATTGTAATGAGCAATTAATTAGTAAGGCAGAAAATCATTCGTGTGAATCTACTTTCTACATCAATTGCAACATCCTTTTGAGCACCTGCAAGTTTTTCCATCACACCCGAGTGATATACTGTTCAAATCTTCCATCATTTTGTCCAGGCTGCATTTTTCATTGTTGTTATCATTTTTATCATCGTTCTTATCATTTTTGCCACCTTCCTTTTCTTTATCACTTGGATGTTTTGTGTATTTTAATTTATTCGTGAATTGTTTGTACAATTTCATGACGATATCATCATTTCCGTTGTTGTTATTGTTGTTTTCATTGCTATTGTTGTTGTTACTGTCGTCGTTGTTTTCCATGTTTGTTCTGCTGTAATATTCTGCGAGAATTTGTTTATATCTGGCTGTTAGGTCGTTCATTTCACTGTGATAACCCGACAACACGTCATCTACATTGTTGCATACATTAGTATTGCTGTCACGACTAGCAACAAGATTATCGCTGTCACCATCATTGTTGGCGTTGGGATCAATATTAGCATTTAAATCAGGCTCGCAAATGTGCATATCGTCACTGCCAGCGTCGATGTTGTTTGAGTGGTGGTTGCTGCTACTTTCGGCTTCATTTCTACTTGAATCGGCACCGTACTGTTTGTACAAGGCTTCTAATTTGCCGTTGATCGTTCTTTTAACTGCTTCTTGGATGAGGATTTCAATATTAAGTTCATCCGGCGTCATGTTTGTGATGGGCCTTGTACGATGTTTGTCAAGGTTGTTGTCGAGGTTGTTGTCGGCGTAGCTGGTGTTGCGCTGCTTCTCGTCGGCGCCATTCTCGTTGTTCAAGCCGTTGTTTATGTTGGTTTTTGAATCGCTGTTGAAGTTCTCTTCCACTTGACTGATGTTGTTTTCTTTTTGTTGTTGCTGCTGTTCAGTAGTTGGTTTAGTTTCCTGTTCAGTTTTTGCATTGTTGCCAGATTCATTTCTTATTAAATTCTCGTCAACCTCAACATCAGCTGAGTCCATGATGTGAACGTCGTCGTTATTGCTGTTGTTGAAGGTTTGGTTGCTCTTGTTGAACAGGCTGTCGTAGAAGTCATCGTAAAGTTCGTCGTTGTTGTAGCATTGGTAGTCAAGCAGATGAGCGATGAGTGACATATCCTCCTCGTCCAACACCGTATCGCCACCGTCGCTGTTGTTGCCGTTGTTGAGAATGTGGTTGCTGAGACTGATGTTGCCTAAGCCGGTTGCTAACATGTTGTTGCCTAAGCCGGTTGCTAACACGTTGTTGCTTGTCTCGTTGTTAGCCGATGCGATGTTGTTGGTCTCAATGTTGATGTTCACTATGTCGTTGTTTATCATGAGATCATTGTTGTTGTTAAACGTGATACAATAGGCGTCTTCGTCAATGTTGTTGTAATGCGTGACGTTATTGTTGTTGCTGTTTATGATGATGACGTCATCATCGTCACATTTGTCATTTTTGATTTTATCGTCCTCTTTGTTGTTATTCTCCAAATAAATTTTATTTTCAAGATTTTGTTCGCACTTACGTTCTCCATCTGCAATTTTACATTCTTCTTCATCAGCATCACAATCATCATCATCCTCATCATCATCGTCATCATCATTTTCTTCATCATCGTATTCATGGATTTTATCGGAATCATCACCGTTATCATCACCACCATCATCATCGCCGTAATCATCTTCATTATCTTCGTCGTTAATGTCTTCATTGTTATTGTTATCACTTGGCCAAGCTTGGTTGTTGTTGTGATCGTTATTATTATTATTATTATTACTACCATCATCATCATTTTTGTTGCTATTATCTTTGTTGTTGTTGTTATTATTATTGTTGTTTTGGTGGTTGCCGTTATTGGCGGTGACGATTCTGTTAGTTTTGATGTTGCTACTACTGTTACAGCGACTGGGTTTGTTAACGTTGACACTGCTGTTGTTGTTGTTGTTGGCGTTATTCGAAACCCTCTTCTGAGATGATGTCCCGGCTTTGAGGTCACTGTTTGCAGTCAGTGGTCGAGGTATGGGCACCAATTTATTTTTTATTTTCTTCTTCATTCGATTGTCGCAGTCAGGAGTGGCTTTGTTAGTGGCCAACGTCGCAACAGCAGCGGCCACTATGCTGCTGCGTGTTGAAGTAGTTGCATGGTTACTGTCGGCGTTGTTGTTCAACGAAATTGGAGCCAATTTAGGAGACTTCAAACCTTTTGCTTTCATTTGGTTATTCGCGTTAGCATTCACTTTAGCGTTAGCGGATGAAATGATGTTATTGTTGAGGCTGTTGTTGGTGCGATATTTGTGTAAAGTTGTCAGCTTCCTAGCCAGGCAGCGAAGTTTATTCTCCGCTTGATCCTTCAGTGTCAAGAAGTCCTCGTGGTCGGCTTTCGTGTTGATCTTAGCCGTCAGGTAGGAGATGATTTTGTGGCACTCTTTGTCCTGTTTGAAGGATGTGCGTGCATCTATCGTGGTTTTTTTATGCATTTTAAAGGTGTGATGTTTATTAGCTACTTTATCCAATATTATTTTTAATATATTGCAAAGTGACTAGATGAAATATCCCAAAAATTTAATAGTTTTATCATCTGTCCTATTAGTAAACTTTCTAAAACTCAATGCAAAGTGATAGAGGCAGGAGAACATGAATGCAACAACCGTGAATTGGAAACTACAGGCCATGATAAAAATAATTAATTACAATCAAAGAATTGAATGAGTAAAAATAAGTATAATGAATGAATGACGTCACGTAAAACATGAATTACAAAATTAACAGATAACTAGATAACATTGACCATTACAAAATTAATCAAATCGTCCATCTGACATTTTCTAGTATCCTGGACAAAATTTCATTGATGACTGAATGCAGGCCTTCGCAGGTCTGTTGGAAGCAGTACTGATTCACCATTCCATCCGCTAGGTTCTTGTCGGCTTTCTATATTTTTTTTCGCAGTTGTTTATGGAGTTTTAGTTTTATTGTTATTAGAATCGTTTTATTTGCTATTATTTGAAATTCAATTTTATTATGAATATTGTTGTTACATTACAATCATCAAGCTTATCGAGTAATAATAATACATTGTTGGCGAAAATGACGACTGATGATGAGATGAAATATGATAAAGTGATGATATCAACAGTGATGTTAATGATAGTACGAAATTTGACCTTTGCAAGTTCAGAGGTTAAGAGGCATTTGTCCAGTTTGTTATCATCTAACTCGTTCACCACTGAGAATAAGTTCTAACGGTAATTTTTCGTATTGATTTTAAAATCAGATTAATTAATAACTAGAAAATATCAAACGTAAATAGATAAGATATGATAAGATACCTACCTATACGATAAAAATAATGATAGAAATTATACATTCTTCGTTGCAGTCAATATAGATGTCATGATATTAAAACGAGGTTGAAAATGAAAAAAAGGCTGATGAAGAAAGTGATGACGACAACGACGATGATGATGCAAATAATAGAAAACCTTGACATCGATCTTCATGGCTTCTACGTTCACGAGACTTCTTTCAATAATTTTCGCTTCACAATCAATCTGACCAGGTAAGAATAAAATTTGAATAACTTTAGTATTGTAATAAAATTAACTCGTTCTATATTCGATAAAAAAGATTGTAAATTACTTAAATGGCTATTTAAAATTGCGAGAGAAATTTATTCAAAACGTCGATTACTTACTTACATTATATTGAGCATCTCAACTAAAAATTAATCTTCCAACCAATCAGCCGAATGCTTTCAGTCCGGTTCCATTTAATTAAAAATCAGAATATTGGAACTATTCAATCATAAACACATATTTTAAACTTCAAAATCATCGATACATAAAACGAAAAATTTCCCTAACTCAGAGGTGGGCAAACTTTTTGGTGTCAGGGCCGCATTGAGAACTATTTTACCAGTGGAGGACCGCCGCATATGTATAAAAATATCAAATATTTTACCGTAATAATGTCTGGTTGACGACTTTTTTTACGTACAGGGCCTCGCGGGTCGCATAAAATGGCTTGGCGGGCCGCATTGGGCCACAGTTTGCCCACTCCTGCTGTAACTCATCAAAAAATGACAAATCAACAATCAATCAATCTTCGTTTTGCGTCCAGAGACCCGGTATCCCGAGGTAGGACGACACCGCGATAATTCTAGAACTTGATATGAGGTCACACCTTAGTGATCTGTGTGTGAAAGGTTTTAAGTTGCATCTCAGTAAGTCCGGTGTCATCTTCGTTGCTCATGTTGGGCATCTCCTCAGGGTTGAAGAGGCAGGCCCAGATGTGCTCCGACTCGTACCTCGTCATCGGGTTGGCCGTTATGCAGCCGTACACCTTGTTCACTACCTGGCGAGTTTGTTTCAATTGGAAAGATAATTTGTGAGGTGGTTCCGTTAGTGTGAAGTGTGCGGTGTGGAGGTAATATCAATGAAAGTCCGCGAAGAAGGATGACTCAATGGAAAGATGTAAATTGTTGAAAACAAAAATTAATTAAATAAATGCTAATCAAGTTGATGAATAAGTTTACGATTGAAAAATTTAGACACCCATTCATTCAGATATTCAGCTGGTCAGTATTTTAACTGACTTCCATTATTTTAATCGAAAAATGAACCAACTTGTCTCATATTGCAGAGCAGGTCCTCGCATTTCTGAACTCTACACAGCAATCTTTCTGTCGCCGTTCCTGGGTTCAAATACACGAGAAATCATCATTTGAAGAATTTTTGATATTAACAGACAAATTTCGTCAACAGTTATACAAATTAAAAACAAAAGTTAATCGCGTAAAAACGCGTGTATACGGTTACAAAAACATACATGCATTACAAAAACATACACACACATACAATACAATACAAACAAATACAAAAATATATACGTACCAATGCCGTCAACTTCGGCCATTCTCTCAATTAGTTTCTGCGCTTCTTTCTTTGTGGCATTCTTCAATCTCAAGTTCTCCAGTTGAACCTGGGTAAAGTAAGTGAGCGAGTGAGTAAAACAAATGAGTGAGTGAGTGAGTAATGTAAATGAGTGAGTGAGTAAGTAAATAAAGAAATATGTTAGCAAAGAGAAAGTTAATATAATGAATAAAACTATTCATTATTCAAACGGTTCGACATCGATTCGTCATCGGAATCATCTTCGTCATTATTATCATCGTCATCATCCTAATCACCACCATCATCGTAACCATCTTTATTCTCGTTGACAACATCACCATCATCATCATCATCATCAACGCCAACATCGTCGTCATCATCATCGTGCCTCGATAGCCTTGAGTCTTCTCAGTTTCTCGTCATTGTACTTGATCATCTGGGCGAGTTTGAGGCAGATGGTTTGAAGGGTCTTCGTGGGAGCAGCGTCTCCTACAAATTTCCTTGCTTCATATGGCTGTCAGTGATGATGATGATAGTGATCATGATTAAGATGGTTGTGATGATTAAAATCGCAGCGATGATTAAGCTGAAGATGATGATAAAGATGAAGTGATGATTAAAATGGTGGGAATGGTTAATATGGAGATGACGACCCAGACTTACGGTGTAGCACAGTGGATTGGAAATGATGAGACTTTCAATTCCGCAAAATGAGGGGAGATTGTCCAAGAAAAGTGTGGATGGAAGGGTTCCTGTACCCATTTGCTGCCACGCTTTTTGCTAATGATGAGGATGAAGGTGATGGTGACGATGAGGATGACGATAATGACCACAATAAAAGTGGTTACGATGAAGATGACAGAGTTGGTGATAGTTTAGAAACAGTTTTTTTTATAGGATGTGTTCTGTGATAGAGCAGAAAAAATATATTTATTATTCATTGTCGAAAATGCTTGCTATTTGCAAATACAAATTTCTGTTTGCAAACAGTGTTAACGCCAGACAAGAAAAAAGCCTTTTATCTTATTACAGAAAAATTATTGAAACCAGGTAAGAACTTGGCGAAATTCGGCATGGCCTGAGCTTATTATTATAAAAACGAAAAAAATAATTACGATTTTTTATAATATTCTAAATTTTTAATAAAATAATAAAAATAAAATAATTTCAAAGCACACAAGTGCTTCCAGATACGGTGGGTAGTGATCCAACACAACGTGCACTTTGTTCAGCGCTGTTTTCTGAGAGAAAAATCAACGACGTTGATGATGTTAAAAATTGTTAAATAATACAAAAATACGATTTATAACTAAAATTTATTATTAATTATTTAATTCATAATTCGGTTTAATTAAAATTTAAATATTGATTAAATATTAAATTAAATTAAACGTACGACGGCTTGGAAGGGGTCGGTAGTAATTGGCCTACCTGTGTCGTCAACGTTTCCCTTATTTAATTCCTTTACACCTGGAAAAATTATTTTCGTCATCATTCATATGAAGTAAAATAAATTTATCATTTAAATTTATCATTTAAATTATTAAACTACAAATCATAATTTACCTAAATCGTAAAAATGCAAACGATTAATGACGTTTCAACGGTTTTTTTTCAAATTTAAAATTTGGCGTTGCTAAGCGCGCTAAACTAAACTCAAATATGGAAAACCAAGTATATATTTCATTGTTAGTTATAGATACTATACTAATAATAATATTCTACACATATGCTAATAATTATAAATACTCTTGAAATATCATAAAAGGAAAAGATTTTGGCTGTTTAAAATCTTTAAGATGTAGTCATATACTAAGACTACATATATACTAAGAAGGTATAATAAATATAATACTCCGATTTAATAATTTTATATTATATAGATATAATTAACTTTATCTAATTTTTATGTAATCTTTATGTAAATTGAAAGGCATGATAGCCTAGTGGTTGAAGTCGACTGGTCCTGTTTCGAAGTTACCCGGTTCGAAAATAGAATAAGAGGATTCCCGCATATCACTTGCTTCTTACACGCTTTGTGTTTTGTTGGTTCTTGGGAACTTTGAAGAAGAATAATCGACTTTTAAAACTTTTTTAAATCTTTTTAAAAATTTTAAACTATTTGTAAAAACGTAATTGAGTTTAAAAAAAATATATTGCCACCTTTTCTGATTTCGTCATTAAACTCTTTCAGTTCTGCCATTTTCAACTTGTACTGTTCAAAGCGGAGGTTGGCCTGGCGAAAAATAATTGAAATCAAAATTTACACATTTTTAAATGAATGTTTAACTTTTTAATTAAATATTTATTTGTTTAATCTCAATTTTTATTCATCTTCTTTTCTTAAAATAATAATCGATTAAACATTGGATATATGTCACGCACACAGCAACACAACTTCAGCAGCCGACCTCAGACAACTCAGCCTCGTTTTTAAAAATCTGTCTGATGGTTTTCAACATTTTCCAGGCTTCTGTGAGAATTGTCGGTGTCATACTTTCATACGGGTTGACACTCCTCAAAAGGTCGTATTGCTCCGGCAGCTCCTCCACCTCCAACGTATTTTGCTCCATCTCTTTCACACCTCTAAACAGCGAGCCTATTGAGATGCAACTTAACTCCAGTGAACGACTGGCAGGTGTGTGTAAGTTTGTTTGTGCGTAGGTTTGTTTGTTTATCTGTATGTGTTTTTACGTCCTTACTGATGTTTTTTTGCTTAATCGATCGATCAATCAATCAATCCATCCACCCATCAATCAATCAATTAATTACGAAGGTTAGCGCGTATGTTTTGGTAATGTTTGTAACTTAGAGTTAGAAAACTTATCACAAATTGACATTTTAGCAAAATAAGAAGCTAACCACAATCAACAACTGCAACAACAACAAACCGACAACAACCAGCAGAAACATCAACAACAAACCATCACAACGACTAACTCGAGTCCACAGAGAGAAAATATCCTCGTGTCTTCAAACTTGTTCGTTTCTTGTGACCCGTGGTTGGGATTGAGAATGACAGGTCTGACCAAGGATTTTATCTCTGTATTTTCCGGTTCTGGCTGATTTTTCTGTACTCTCTCCGCTTCGTTCAGAATTGTTGTCTCTGGCTCTATGAAGGCGATCTCGCGACTTATGCCAGTTCTGTAGTTGTGAACAATTTAGAAAAAAAATTTTGGTTGAAATAATTTTTAAAACGACAAACTTTTCCAGGATAAAGTTGAAGAATTTCCTCAAGGCGTGGATGTTGATCTCCCCACGCTCGGCTCCTCCGATGGCATAGTCAATCATCTCGTGCAACTTCATCTTCATCATCGTCTTGCTCGAATGCTTTGTTTTTGTTCTTTCACCCATGTTTTAGAAGTGGTGAATGATTTGAAGTGAAGCTAAAGTCAAAGTATGCGGTTAGTGGAAGTGAAGATTTAGCAGCGAATGTGATGTGCTGGCCAAGAGCTGACGGTCAACGTATTCTATGAGGGTGTTTCGTTATCGTGTGGATTAATATAAAATATTTTTACGTTAATCAGACGTTTGGCAAGTCACTAGGCTAGAGGCTGATTAATTTAAGCGTATTTTATCTATGGATCATTTTCTTCAATTTGCATATCAAAAACTTTCGCAGAACTTAATCGCCTGAAGATGAAATTTCAGAAGAAAGTAAATTACTCTATTTATTTTTGAAATATCAAAACAAACGATGAGATATCAGTGACGTTTTTTTTATCAAGGGCTGGGCTTTGATTAATAATGAAACAAAAACAAACACGTTGAGGTAAAAATTTTTAGCCGAAGGTTCGTGAATGGACATAAACATCAGATTAATGGATTTTTCTTAACTAATACAGTCAAAATTTTATTAACTAATAAAAAAAGTAAAAGTGTGTAAGTAAAAAAATTTAAAATATAAAGATAAAAAAGTTATAAAAATTGTATTTATATTTGTTCTCAAGCAACTCATTATCAAAATAATATTTTGTGAGCGGTGCTTGAATTTTTTATCAGTCTTTCGACGGTTCTGCTGTTTTTCCTTCGAAATCCATGGTCAGCTGGTTCTTCTGATCTGAACCTATGAGAAGAGCTGAGTAAACTGTTTTGTCCGCTAGTTTGGCTGTTACGTTCGTCGAGAATTCGTTCGAGTCTCGAGAAACAGCGTTGCTTCTAAAAATAAAATTTATTAAATTTTGTAGAGAATGACTGATATGTAATAAATATTGAAATATTTTAGTTATTTTCAATAACCATTGGCGTTTCGTATCGTTATATCTTATATTTGACTATGTTTCGTGCTGTATCGTTTCATTCGAAGAAAAATTCCAATTAAATAGTAAATATATCAGTAGACATACTTTTCAGCAAATCCCACTTTACAAGGAGCAGCTAGTTTAGTACCGGACAAACAAGCTCTCAACGTGTTCATGGTTTGGGAGAGGTTCTGCTGGCAGGCCGCCACGAATTCCTTCACGTCCGGAAGTGTTGGGATGGAGTCGTAGACCCGATGTTGGGTGGCCGGTCCCGATCCCTAGCCGGTGAGTCACATGGTGTGTTGTGGTGTGATGTTGTGGTGTGCTTGTGGTGCTTTTGTGTGGTGCGGTAAATATTTTTAACTGCTTTCTTATTTTTGTGAAGCCTTCAGAAGAATTCACGTAACAAATTGTTTATACGTTATAGTGCATTGAATAACATGAAATACAAAATTTATTTAGTATCATAACGATTGTGTATATTCTGTTTAAATCAAACACCATATAACAGTAGTCAACAGTTCAATTCAAAAATTAAACTTTATTTCAAATCAAAACTGATTGGCTGAAAACAAACTTTTCCTAGCAAGAGATTTCTACGAAAATTAATTTTTTAGAAAATAATTTTGAATAAATTTAAATATTGAAAAAAATTTAAACTATTCATCTAATTTTATTTTATTGAATAATAAATAATTAATTAACATAGTATGAATAAAGAATAAATAAATTTGAATATAGCAAAAACAAGTTTGAAAATCAATTCACGAACTTGCAAATTTCTTGGTTAGGCTTGAAATCTTCAATACTAAAAAGGCGATTTTATAATTACTATTGTCGAGTTTGCAAAAACATTTTTTTACAATTAAAAAAGTTTTATTCTTATTAACTTTTTAATTCTCTATCATTTTTGTTAACAGTGTATAAATTTTGATACGATCCATCATTCTTACCCATCATCATCTTCTTCATTGTTTTTGTAATCGCAATAGTCATTAAAATCATCATCGTCGTTTTGTCATCATCATCAAAATCTGACCTATTTTTCTTCGTTTGAACTTTAACCTCTGTTCCTGCTGTTAACTTAACACCGCTGCAAAATTGCAATCATGAAATGTTTATGTGTGCGCAGTCAGTAAAGTGCTGCTGATGTATAAATATGCAGTTTGGCTAGTAAGTTTTATTAAATTTGTAATCAGATAGTTTCAATAAAATAGTACACATATTTTAGAGCTTTCATATTGAAGCAAGTGATAATCCTGAAGAAATATTTAAAATCGAAATTAGGCATTTTTTTCACTTATCTCAAAACAAATATAAAATTAAAAAATATGATTTTAACCAAGCTGGTACGGTAGGATTGGCTCCTTTTAGTTCTGTTCCTTTCACCATGAGAGGGAACTGTCGAATCATTTTGTTACCCGACAGTCCCGGGTTCAAAGGCAAGGACGGTGGAGCTCTGTGTATGTGTTTTTTTAATTTTTTAAAATTGGCGATGCTATTTTTTTACTAGCTGCTATTCATGGTATTAAGGATAAAAACCGCAATATTTGTGTAAAATTCAAAATAAAACAAAACATAAAAATATGTTTGTCAAAAAATTGAAAGTTGATAGAACTAAAAACCTGACAAGGGGTGCAACAGTGGGTGGCACTGACTTTGATTGCGGAGTTGATGCCTGCGTGTTGGGAGTTGGGGCATCGTTCTGGTTCTGGTTGACGTTCCTCTTGAAGTTCATCGAATCATCTCCCTCACCTAGTTTTGAAGTTTTTTTTCCGACCAAATAAAAATTTGATGGCATATTATAGATTTTTAAAAATTACAAAACTCTAATTTTATTTATATCTTGCTTTTAATATTAACTTTTATGCGTTTTAATTTCATGTTTGATACTTTTTAAAAATTTAAAAAAGCAAATCTTCAGAAAGTAAAAACATAAATCTGTGGCGATAGCTAAACCTTCTTCACTTATGAACTTCTGCAAGCCCATGAAATTCTTCGCCATGCACTTCAACTTGGCCTCCAACTGGTCCTTCAACGCTTCCAGCTCTTCCCTGTCCGATTTCAACTGCACCATCTTCTCCAGCTGGTTGAATATGTTCCTACATTCTGCGTCCTGAAATTTACATTTATTAAATTTCGTTATCAGTGTCGTGGTTATAATAACTACATGTACGAATATTTTAGCAGTATGTGTTTTGCGTCATTAAAACAAAAACAAAATGAAACAAAAACTAAAATTACAATTACAATACTGATGTCTCCTCAAGTGCAATAACACAAAAATAAGAACACCAAATACATCTGTGGCAACTGACATTTTCAAGAATCTTCGTCAGAATGTCGTTGATGACACTGCTGAGACCTGTGCACGTGTTCTCGAAACAGGATTGAGATACTTTATCTTCCACTTGGCTTTTGTCAGCTTTCTGGAGAATTATTGATGTTTGCCAGTTTGATGTAGTCTAGTTCGATGTGATTTATTTATAAGGCTATAGAATGTGATGTGATCTTCCGTGATATGATTCATTATTATTTAATGCCAGATGTGCGTGCCTGTGTTGTCAACATTTACTTAAAATATCATAGTTACATCTAGTTTAAGTGATGTTAGTGCTGTCGAATCGCCTGTGTGCTCGGTTGAATTTTGAAGTGTAAATTATTTGTGACGTTCACATTACATGATGTGATGTGACGTCACTTTATGAGACATGATGTCACAGCATAATTAACGACGTCATGATACTAACGTGAGCTAGGACGCTGGCCAGAAGACATTTATCAAGTTTGTTCTCATCCAACTCGTTGACGATTGAAAATAAATTCTGATGGATGTAAAAGTGATGACAAAATAATTTTTGATTTTTAAAAAAGGAATTAATACAAAAATTGTAACCGAACTTCTGATCTTAATATTTCCTAAGCGAACCTGCACATCGGCCTTGATACCATCGACAGAGACGAGGTTCCTCTTGATTGCATCCAACTCACACTCCACCTTCGTCAACTGATCCATGAAGAGTTTCAGCTGGTTGTCATTCACCCCACCACCACCACTTCCACTCGGATTGGATGTGCTATTTTTAGAAATTTGGGCGCCTTCACCCTTCCCGCCCAAACACGCGATGACACCTTGGCTGCTGCCCTGGCTGGTGTTGTTACTCACACAGCCGTATATCTTGTTTATAACCTTTTTGTATTCGAGCAGTTGTTGATTTTTGTTATTGTTTTATAAGGTAAGGTTTTATTTTTTTAAAGTAAGTTCTTTGATTGGCTACGCAAAATGAGAGTTATGCTAGATAATATTGTAAAACATTTCATAATTAAATTATTTTTTGTGCCTATAACGTGGAAAGCGTACAAAATGACTTTGAAACACCACGTGCATTTCAAGAACTTCATCTGGAAACGACGAACCTGCCGTAAGCAACAGAGCTGGTCCTCCGAGCCCTGTATGCGACACAGCAATCTGTCGACCGCACTCGCTGGTCAAGGATTCAGTGGAAAGTTAGAAGATGGTTGGAGAAAAGATGTTGTACTAATTAACATGATGAGATGTCGACAGGTCACAAAGTATGATTATGATGGTAATAACAACACAATAAATGCCTGACTGAGAAAACGATCTCATTTTGTCTAAATTTAATTGAAAACAACACAACGAATGAATTTGGCATTTCAACAACTGCCTAATTAGAGACATGACGATACGCATTATAAACTAACCAATGCCCTGGACCTCTGCCATCTTCACGTTCAGCTTTTGAATGTCTGCCTTCGTAGCAGCTCTGTCTGTCAGATACTGCAAATTGTTCTGTTGGCGAGGTGGGTGAGATGACAAATTTTAAAAAATGTTTCAGATGGTTGAAGTTTTTTGCCTAACTTCAAGAGTTTTAATTTGAAAGTTTAAAAAATAAAACTTAATTGAATCGAAACTATCAGATAATATCTTTGATTGAACTTTTTGCGACAATCTTATTTAATTAGCAAGATGACTACATAACAAAAAATTCAACCATTCCAACTAGTCAACATAATCAATTGATATTTTTATTTTTTATTAAATTAATAATGGATAAAACATAGAAACCGAACACAAAAATTTGCTTAAAAAATGGGTGATTGAAAAGTAAAATTTGCAAAACGCACCTCAATGGTTTGAATCCTGGCAAGCAATTCATCATTGTAGGCCACCATTGCCCCGAGGTCACCCAGCATTTTTTTCATGTCCTCACTTAGCGGTTTTTCCCCCATCTCTCGCTTCTCCTTACCTGACTGCCGTTGTCCAGTTGGTAATGGTTGTTCAAATTTGATGAAATGGTGTAAAGATAACAGTACTTTGAAGTTGCAATGTATTTTAATAAAACATACAGAGGCGTTACAAAATCATTTAAAAGTTAAATCCGGTAAACCTAGACATGCCCACACACACGCACACACAAACATATACACACCTACACCTACATACAAATACAATTAACACATACAAACAGAATATACACGTACATATATATTCTCGTAAGAGCCTTTCATTAGTTGCTCTAACAAAGTCCACGTTGGCAGATTGTCAAAAAAGTCATCGTTAGGTAGGCTACCTTCTCCCATGCGAGCTGTTATGCTTGCCTGGCGAAAATTAAAAATACCACAAACACAATAATATTCATATTTTAATTTACTATTTTATTTATTTATTTTTACTATTTTAATCATAATAATTATCACGATCATTATTTTATTGATACGATCATTTTATCATTATTGATTGATTGATTGATTGATTGATTGATTGATTGATTGATTCCTTTATTCATTAATTCATTAATTCATTCTCAATTTTCTTACCATCATAGATTCATTTTTCTCAAACTGATTAGCCACGTTACCTAGTTCTTCTATGGCCTCTTTCTTTAAATAACGGAAAATTAAATTTTCGTGTTATGAAAATTTTTCAATTAATTTTTATTTTGAAAAAAAATCAAAAAATATTATAACTGGATTGAATTCTATTCAACCATTTTTCAACTATAAAATATTTCCACCTTATAATAGCTTTCTACACCTTTTTAATTATTTATAACCATGCAATTTAAACAGACAAAATTAATCAAACAGCCAACCATGTAACAAATTAATCTGTCAATCGAACAACTCAGCCAACCAGTCGACCAATCAGTCAACCAACCAACCGGTCGACCAATCAGTCAGCCAGCCAGCCAGTCATCCAATCAGTCAACCAACCAATCAGTCAATCAACCAACCAATCAGTCAATCAACCAACCAACCAGTCAACCAATCATACCAGTGTAAGCGGCTTCTTAGGCTCCTCCCCCGTGCTATCGGGCATAAGATCGGGAGGGGGTCCAAGGAGGGCATCCAACAGCTCTTTGTTGTAGTGGTCCAACTCGGCCGCAAACTTCATCAAGTCATCCATCATGCATAAGATCTGCAGAAGTATGTATTTACATTTCTTTTTTAGTATATTTTAGCAAAGTAGCACTGCATAGCACACGTAAATTAAGCATTCACACACGTTGCTTGCATCATGCGAGGATCTCTATGCAATCGAATTCAGTCAGGCATTTCAACGGTTATCAATTTTTTCGTTCGTTTGTTCGTTCATCCATTCAGTAATTCATTTGTTCATTTATTCATTCATTCATTCTCCCATCCATTCATTCATTCAATCATCCATCCATGAATGAACCATCGAACCTTCTTGATTCCCTGTTCACAGGCCTCGACAGTTTTTGCGACCTTAATTTTGTCCCACATGTCAGTCAGAGGCGTGAGATTTGGAACATTAGCTTCCGTTGTTTTTATAATGATTTCATTGGTTGGCAAAGAGTTCAACTTCTCCCAGAACAGTTCTAAAATTTTCAATCTCTCCACCAAGCCAACAAAGGAGTTAAGGCCGATGCTGTGATGATTGTGCAGTTGTGTGGTTGTGTAATTGCTGTAATGAGAATGACGATTGCTGGGCTGAAAATTTGTTGTTGTTGCTGCTGATAATGGTGATGACTATATAAGATAATGTGACGTTGACGATGATAACAGCATTGGCAGTTATGATTATTGTGACTGAGATTGTACTGGTGACAATTCAAATGATGATAAACCAAAATGGTATAATCACGATGGCAATGAGGATAATAATGATTATCGACCAAAGTTTGCCAGGCAAAAGATAACAACGTATGTTTTATGAAGCAGCAAGCAGAAGAAGAGAACCATTCATTATATTTTGGCCTAGTTTACTTTACTTGTCTGTTGTGGTGAAACCGTTATTGATTGATTTATGTTTGTTTGAGGTCGGTGTTTTATGTACGTGTGCCTCTCTGTGCATACATGTTTCCAATGTTTTAACAAATTTGAATATTCGTTCATTTTTAAAGGTTTTTAGATTTGTCTATGTTAAATACACCGAATATAAACTGAATTTGGTAAAACTTTACATTTAAAATATCACAAAAATGTATGATGAACATGCAAGTATATATATTAATATAAATAGTATAAACGCATAGTTAGCAATAGAAAAACATACACACACATACACAAACACACATACACATTTACAAAAAATACAGTCTCTAACCAGCAGAAAGATGCGATAAAGTTGTGACTCCACAACAAAAAAATAACATTTACAACCACAAAATCAACAACATCAGCCACATCACTGAACACTGCTACAGCAACTCAGACAGCAAAACGTCAGCGGCTTACCTTTCTTTAAGTGTCTTGAGAAGCGCAAAATTTTTTGTGTGTTCCTTGATCTTCTCTATAGTTTCGTTGTCTACTAAGGCTTTCTCGTCTGATAGTTTTAATCTTAGAGTTTTTGTTTTGTGTGAGAATTTGTGTTTTTTGTGTGACAAGAATGATGTTATAGTTGATAAAAAAAGATGATAAGACAAATTGAGTCGACGACAAAGTGACCACAAAACGACGACCAACTTATAAACGATTGCGTGCATGAGAGAGTGGAGAGCATTGAAGTTGACTTGTCCATCTTCAGGACCACCGAATGATAAGTCTACCAGGTCTTGAAAGGATGACATCTTTTAGTTTTTTGCTACCTGGTTGGGGCTGTTACTATTTAAACGTCACTAACGATGCTGAAAAGTTATAACGACAATTTTGTTTGTATTATTAGTTTCCGGTTAGATGTTTTGATTTTTTTGTGGTTATATTATTGGATTTTTCGCATTATTGACGATTTTTGGTTGTGTATTGATTTTTGCTTTACAGAAAATATTAAATTTCCGTTCAAATCATAAACATGAAAAAATGTAACTACAAAGGCTCTGATATGTTTTTGTCATATCTACTCAAAAAATAAATTTATAAATAATGGTTTTTATTCATTCCTACAAATTCATGTTTTTAAAATGAAAGGTAGAGCAATTATACGAACAAAACTTTAATTTCGTTGCTTCATAGAGCAAGTTTTTAAAAAGTTTAACTTTTTATTCAAAAACAACATCAATATTCAATACATATTTTAATTTAAAAATTAATCTTTTATTGATTTACATACCAGCCGAACCAAACAGTAAGAAGTAAACAATACAAATGACGTAATAGGAAACAATATAGCCAAAACAAAAAACACTGAAAATGATTTTAAATTAATTTTAAAATGAAAGTTTCGTATTTTTTTGAATTGATCAGTAAATAAACTTTTACAACAAAAATTAAAAATAACAAAATCAACAAACAGCTATACGATGACATATGAATGTGTAGGCATACAAAGATACTAAAACTGGTACCAGTCCTTCTCGAGATTGTTGTTGAAACACAGCCCGCATTGAGGAAAAGAGATAGAGAAAAGGAAGATTCTCATCGGAAAGCTTAGCGGTGCCTGCATCTCAAATTGCTTTCTTTACAAAAATAATCCTATCTACCTATTCAATTACCTTAACTAATCTATATTAAATTGTTAATGGTACGATAGTCGAAAGTCACCTTTCATTCTCCTTCCTTGCACAGAGGTTCCCCGACAGTCAGGGCACCGGATAGTAAACCATTGCCGTCCGGATAGTAAACCATTGCCGTCCGGATGCCGTGTGGATAGTAGACTATGGCCATGCCACATAGTAAATCATCGCCATACCGTAAACCATTGCCGGCACACCACTGGCCACCAAGGCTTATCTCTGACTATGGACTTTGAAATTCAGAGTCAATCGGCTATCGTACCCACAACTTACCTATTTATTACAATAAAGCCCTAAAAAATTCTGGTTTGATCTGCTATATTTTAGTCAAATAGATCTATTGTATTAGTTGTTTTTTTTAAAATACATGCAATTTCGAATGTAAGCCAATAAGCTAAGGAAGCCAAACAGCCAGATCCTTCAACATATTGGTTAGCAAAATATCTTTAGGCCGTCAACTAGACATTATATACAACATCATATGAGCCAAAAAACACCTGCAAAATGCAAACATACTCAAATATTACGATAAACTTTTTAATATGTTTAAGCTCTTTCACATATGCTATCTAATAATCCGCATAGTAATAGGATGTCTATTGATTTTAGAAAATGTTCACGTATGCGTGTGCACATATGGTTGTGTGCTATTGTGTTTGGTTTTTGTTTATATTGAAACGACATGAATCTAATTTGAAAGAATGTGTGTTTATTAATTTCAAATGCGTGTTCATATTTTTTAAGATTGTAGTTTTGTACAAATGCTATTAGCGTATAGGATGTAGACAAAGAGATCATATTTTTTGCATTTGGATTGGGACTAGATGTGTAGACAATTGAAATAGAGATTTAATGTATTGGTTGAGGAGTGCAATGTTTAATTGATTAGTATAATCTATGAAACGTATGCATGTGCATTTACATCTACTATCTTCTCAACGTTCGTCATTCATACTACTACTGTTTCATTGTTTGTGTATGTGTGTGTTTTGTGTGTGTGAGAGAGAGAGGGAGAGAGAGAGAGTGAGAAAGAGAAAAAAAGAGAGAGTGAGAGATAAAGTAAGTTTGTGTGCGCTAATTGTATGTTCATAACAATTTGTTTTTATGTATGTATTACGGAAACTAACTCATTGTTTCGTAAATAAAAATAGCTCTGAAATAGCTTGTTGTCAATTGTAATTGCCTTAAAATGCATTCAGTTTTTATATATTTGGAAGTTTAATTTAAAAAATTTACTTCAAAATATGCAGGCAGAGTTTTATATAGAAATTATTATCATTAACGAAAGGGACAAGGAACAAAGCGAAACTTCTTTCAAATTATTATTAAATCACGCGATCATATGATGAATGAATGAGCAGTTGAACAGTTAAGTTAAACCAAATTTTAAAAAGTAACAAACATCTTTCTCTATCCAAATAAACAAAATTATAAATGAATGAATGAATAAATGAATGAGTATATGAATATATGAATGAACGAAAGGACAAACAAACGAACGAACGAATGAATGAACGAGCAAGAGACCAACACATGTAAACATTAACAACAAACATTCAAACAAGCGTATACAAAACATATACAAAGATATACAAAACACCTAATTTAAATTAGCATAAGCCAAATCATACTATCAAAAATTAAAATAATGAAACATGTGATTTAATAGATGAGTTTAAATAAATAATTTGAATTGAAATAAATGAGCGAATGAATGAATGAACAAATGAATGAATAGATAAATAAATAAAATACATTAATGAAAGATATTGAAAAATGTATTGATTAAAAATCCCGCCAAAAAACATAAAGACATACAAACCAATGACAAAAGGTTATTAAAACGCATAAACGATGCAATGATTTTCACCAGCATTATTATAATTTTTAGTCTCCATCATTCCATCACCATCATTCCATCATCACCGCCATTATTCGTTTTCCAAGCATTATGTGACCCATTCCAAACAAAGACAGCCCATTAATATGACATTTGAAATGAATTAAATGCAATTAAAAACATAGGCTAAACAATCTGAAGCAAAATGAAAAATAATCAATAAAAGCTACTACAAACATGTCACAAACACAAATATACAAACACATAAATACAAACATAATTACACACACACCACACACACACACACACACACATACAAACATACAGACATATACATATAAGCAAACAAGCAATCATACACTGAGCAATAAAAACAAATTCACTTTTACACTATCAACCTATCAAACCGAAGATAATATTTAAATTGAAATAAAGCTAAATAATAATAAGTAAGTATGTAATTTGTATATAATATTTATTACCATAATGTTTACGATCATGTTTGGTAAAATATTTAACAATATCATCATCATTATCGTCGTCATCATCGTCATCATCATCAATATCCTTATCACCACCATTATCACCACCATCATCACCATCACCACCATCGTCATCATCATCATTATCAATATCACTCACCATCACCATAACAATCATCGTCAACGTCATCTTCACAACCATCTTCACCATCATGATAACCATCATGATCACCATCATAATCACCACCATGATCACCATGATCGTCATCATCACCACCTTCACTACCACCATCATCACCATCGTAACTATCATATCCTGCCCAAGACGACAGGCTCATTTTCGCGGGCCTCTTTCAGACTCCTGGCTTTACTTCTTTTCTTCTTGCGGGAGAAGACGAGAAAAACGATGCCAGGAATGAGGTGGAAGATTAGGCACATCCACAATAAGTAGTATGACCAGCCGAAACTGTGTGGATGGATGGATGGGGGTGAATGATGGTGACTGGCGATGGTGGTCACTATGATGGTGATGATGGGGGTGAGGATGAATGAATGGAATGAAGTGAGTTAATGAATTAAACGAAAATGAACGAAAGAATGAAACAAAAATAAACTAATGAATGAAACGAAGATGAGTGATTGAATGAAATGAGTAAATGAGTGAAATAACTATGAGTGAGTGATTGAAACGAAAATGAGTGAATGTTATTTTTTTTATTCAACAAAGTATTATTAAAAAAAACACGTCACTAGGCAAAGTTCTCACTTGTTGGGTTACAGAAATGAATGTTTGAACCAAATATGAATATTTATAACACCAGAACGAATTTTTGGACCGAATAGAATAAAGTTAGTTTTAGCTAAATTTAAACGACTCATCATTGAAAATTGATACTTGTTGATTAACATTGAGTTAGATAACAACCGTTGGCAGATGAAATTTAAAATTTTTGGGTGAATTAATAAAATCATTATTAAAAATGTTAAAAAGTGGAAGAGGACCAAGATGGAGCCGTGGTCAGAGCCAGGTAGAAATAGGAGAAAGAGATATTTACCTGACTTCATCAGTTTCGGGAACAAACGTCTTCATGTTTATCGATTCGTATTTGTGCATCTGCCTGAAAACTTCTATCGTCACCCAACACGTGGCACCTGGCGGTGATGGTGACGAGGACGACGACGATGGTGATGATGATGGTGATGATGGTGATGATGATGATGGTGATGATGATGGTGATGATGATGGTGATGATGATGGTGATGATGATGGTGATGATGATGGTAATGATGATGATAATGATGGTGATGATGATGGTGATGATAATTATGGTGATGATGAGGATGGTGATGATGACGACAATGGCGATTAAAAGTTGATAATGGATAAGAATAAAATGATAGTTTGTGATTTTACAGATAATGATATAGACCCAATTGTCGTTAATAAGCAAGAAGATGATGACGTCATTAGTCTGCTTGATGATGATGATGAATTGATGATGATATCGATGATGATAAAAACAAAAACACCGTTATCACCAACTTTTCCTGGCGAAAAATGCTGATTGCATTGCGAATGATGAAAATAATAATTGCGCTAATGAAAATGACGCCGATAATAGTCTTATCTTATTTTTGACCTTTCCAAAGAACAAAAATAGGAATTTTTTAGCAAATTATATAAAAATAACATTATTATCATTGTCGGCATTGTTTAAAAAGATTGTTATCACTCAATCATTCATTCAGCCTTTTTGTAATTATTTCAATCATTCATCATCATTTTCATGTTCATTTTGTCGTTAAATCGTCATCATCTTAATAATTATTATCATTCCACCTGTATCAACATCATTATTAACATTTAATCAACATCATTATCTTAATCTATATCATTATCATCAATTTTTCACCATCATTATCATGGTCGTCGTCATCATTGTCATCATTACCATCTCTACGCAAATAACATGTGTGTCCAGGCATATCATGTGTTTACAAAGAAATACACAATGATATATAATGATGATGATGATAAAGAGGATACGATGATGACGACGACGACGACGAAGATGATGAGGATGATTCAAAAATTGCTAGCAACATTTGTTATTATTATGATGATAGCACTGAGTACAACAACAGATTGCATCGGTAAATGATGGCCGGTGAAATTATTTCAAGATAAACATAACATTGTTGGACGATGATGGTGGGGATTTTGATAAAAAAACATCGTCATTGTCGACGAAAATGATTAAAATGGAGATGACGACGATGACGATGATGATGTAGATATTAATGATTATGACAATGTTGGTAATGATAAATTGATGCCTACAACTATGACGATGAAATAGTGGTAATGATGATGATGATGAAAAAGAGGGAGAAAAATGAAAGAATAAAAAATGAATGAATGAATGTTTCTCCTGCTATCGATAATAAATTTTACCGTCTTTGACATGCTCGATCAATCACATGCGAAAATCTTTCATTCAATTTTTCAAAATTTTTAAGCAGATTATTATTATCATCATTATTTTATAATGGGGTAGCGGTGATAGTGATAATATCATTCACAATGATGACGATAGTGACAACGATGATGATGTCAATGATGACGATGATGATGCTGCTGGTGTGGCTTAATTAAGCTAATGGAAACCCCGTTTTAATGATGCAAATTTGAATATCCAGACCTTGAAATTAAAGTGAAAAAAAAATTTCTAGATAAAATCTATGAAAAACATTATGCCAGAAGAAAATAAATAATTTGCAATTTGGGATTAGTCTAGTAAATAATTCAGTACGCATTTTCAATACTGGTCATACCATGGTCAAGTTTTAGCAATATCCTTGTAGAATCATGTTGTTGTTGTTGTTGTTGTTGCAGTTGTTGCGCTTTTGCTAATGTAGCAGCTGTTGCATTAAAAAATGTTATTATTATTATTAACGGGGTTTAAAGTGGTTCAGAAGACTATGGTCTGTGTAAGAACCACTACAAAATATGGCTATTTGGTTGTTTTTATTGACATTTTTGTGGCTATAGGCACGTTGGATTCAATGAAATTTTTCAATTATTTTTCATCATACAAATTCTGTTTCAATTCTGTTTTCATTGGCTCAACTTAGCTATGCGATAAAATCAATTTGTGCCTCTAACATATCTAACATCGACGCTATTTTCATACTACAGCCTAGGTGATTAACAGCTCTAACGCATTTTAAAATTAATGACAGCACACAGGCCATTAATTTATCAATTAAACCTGGTATTATCTCATTAAGGTTAGAAGCATTTTAGCTCATTAAGGTTAGAAGCATTTTAGCTAGGCGTTCGCGATTAAAAACCTTTTCACTTGAACGATGAATTATTCACTTTCATATATTTTAATCATATCAATAATAATAATAAAATAATAATATTGAATATAAATAATAATTAATTAATTAATTAATTAATATAATTTTTAGTTATATTATCATCATAATTTGGTAAATAGAAGTTATGTAAAAATTTAAGGCATTTGATAGTGCATCTCACTAAATGAGGTCTACAATGAAAAAAATTCGTTGCAACTGCTGTTAAACATATTAAAATGTTATACTTTTAATAACATTGTTTAAGAATGGTAATAAGAATGAAAATAATAATAAACATAAACATAAAAATAATAAAAATAATAAATCAACATTTACCCACCGCGAAACAACTACTAAGAAATCAATAATGTTGGCAGCAGCTTAGAATTTTTTTATTTTAATCAATATATTATCAAGCTAATATATTCACTCATTATAATATAATAACAGGCCCGCAAACATACACACACACACACTGACTCATACACACACACACACACACACACACACACACACACACACACACACACAAACACTGACTCATACACATACATACACACGCACGCACGCACGCACATAACACGCACATATACACAATCACACACTGTCTCACACACACACGCACACATATACTGATTCATACACTTATACACACATATGAATCTATATATGTGTATGTTTCTATTTGTTTATACAAGACATTAAATTATTTATGATATTCGGCATGGCAAACATTTTATTCACTTATGAAAACATCATCTTAAAAAACAATGCCAAAAATATAGCGATTCTGAATAAGCATAAACACAGCAAAGCAGTTTTTTCTTACGCTTCGTGTGTTTTTTGTCTTGTAAGTTTTTCGTCTGATGGAGTACATAAAAATTGTTTGACTTAATTTTTTCATATATAGACTCAATTGTTCATTTATATTCAGAATGACGTTTTTATTTTCATTTTGTACTCATATTTGAAATCAATGAAGTCCTCATCATTGTCATCATCGTCGTCACCGTCATCATCACCATCATCATCATCACCATCATCATCGTCGTCGTCTTCGTAATCGTCAACATTAACCTCTTTACCATCATTGCCATTACTATTATCTTCATTAAAAAAATTTTATAGCAATAGAGATTTGACAAATGCGAAATAGAAATTAAGTCGCACAGTACAAAATCAGAGAGGAGATGATTAGAATTAAACCGTGCGTGTTATTTGAATAGCCGAAATGTCATTAGGAGAAATTATTTTATATTTATTTGTACAGCTTGTAAAAAAATCGCTTTAATTGATTCGTTTGATTATTCATTCATTTGTTTATTCATTCCCCCCCCATTTCTCATTCATTCATTTAATTATTCACGTTTGGTTTGTTCCATATTTTTAAAATCTTTTACAAATATGATTTTTCATATTTTAAGCACTTATATATATATATATGTATATATATATATATATATATATATATATATATATATATATATATATATATATATATGTATATATATATATTTAACAGCATATATATTTAACAGCATATACTCTCTTATTAATACCTATTTACAGACGCGGGCCATATATCATATAACACAAAACTCTTTATTCTGAAGAAAGAAATAACTCCTTAAAAGTTGCATTATTTGCCTCTATCATGCTTCAACCACACACACACAAACACGCCACACATATACATACTTACATGCATACATACATTCAAACATACATACAAACCTACAATCAAACATACATACAAATATACATAAATGCATAGGTACATACAATCATCCAAAAACACGTCTTTGAATTAGCTTCACCTTTCATACCTTTCCACAGCTTAAAAATTTGATGATGATGGGAACATCATAATATGAATGTTATTGTTGGTGTTGGAGTTTTTTCCATGCTTTTGTTGCTCACAGTTAAAAGATGAATTTCTTAAAACACACACAAACAAACAAACGATCGATCGATCGATCGATCGAACGAACGAACGAACGATCGTAAAAACATACAAAAAACAAACAAACAAACGAACGAACCAGATATTAAATGCAGGCAGCCAGACAACCTTTTGTACATGTACCTCAGTTGGTCTATAGAATAATACGTGAATATATGCGATAGGAGTCCGAACAATAATGATATTATGCCCACTGCTATTGTCGACCGCCTGAAATCTGTACGTGATAAATGAGATGATAAAACGAACGAATTCTATTGGGATGGTGATTTGATGATGTTATTTATGATGTTAGTTTTATGATTTTATGATGATGTTATATTCATACTGATGACATTGTTGATGATATTATTTAGTCAAAATGGTGAATAAAAATATAAACCCAAACTAAACCTAACCTTATATTAACCGTCCGACCAACCAACCGACTATTCAATCAACCAGCCAGCCAACCAACCAATAAACCAACTAATCAAGCAACCAACTAACCAACAAACCAACTAATCAACCAAACAAGCAACTAACCAACCAACCAATCTACCATTCGACCAACCAACCAATCATCTTGTACTCCATGGCCAGTTTCTGTGGGGGCGTTCGGGGCTTCCACACCTCCGGGAAAGTGAAGAACATTTTGGCGCAGTTGTGCTCTGACACAAAATGGAAATAATACAATTATGATTTTAATAGTAAATATTGACGATGATGAATGATGATAAGAATAACGATGATGATGATGATGATGAAGATGATGGTGGTGATGATGATGGTGATGATGATGATGATGATGATGAGAATTATGATGATGAGGTTAATAGTAATGATGACGATGATGAAAATGATGATGATGATAATAAAGGTTCTCAAGGCTCAAGGGCGGTTTGTTTATCAGGTACAAACATTTACTAAAAAAGATGTAAGTCATTCGTTTGGAGGTAACGAATATGCATTGTTTGCCATCTTCCAAGTTCATCATTTTATTAGTTTCATCATCATCTATATCATCTTCTTCATCGTGAATGTTGTTATTTGCTTAACAAGCCATAACAGAAAAACATACCATGAACGTTTAAAATCTAACATGAACATCATTCACACGAATGTTTTCAAACAAAAAAAATAAACTGCTACAAAAAATTACTACGACCACCGTGAAAAATAAACAAAACAGCAGCATGCGAAACAAAAAAAATTCATCTACAATAGCAAAACAACAACAACAACGGCAACATCAAACACAACAATAACATCAAAAACAACAACAGCAACACACCACAAGAACCTTCACCTTCAACCGTCGAATTTTTCCACAACTCAATCCTACAAAAAGTCCACAGTCCATGGTAATGACCGACCTTCAAATGTTCCCCTCTTTCGTCAATTCGTGGTTTCGGAGTTTTAAAATTCACAATTATCCAGTATTTCGTTGAAAAACATATTAGAAAAACTAGCGACGCTAATAAACCGATAATGAAAGCAGCTATTAGTATCCGTTTTTCTATCATTAAAGCTTTGTATTTGTTTTCAGCCGATTGGGATTGCTTCCGGATAGAGCTGTTGGTTGATCGCACGGATTGGTTTGTTGTGCTGTTGTCCGATTTTGTTGATTGGTTTGTTGGCGACATTAGGGTCACTTTTTTGTTGCTGTTTATTGACATTTTGGCAGTTGTAGTTGTTGGTTGGTTTGGTGATGGTGCTTGATGTGAAGAATGTTTGTTGTCTCTTTTCAAGTGTTATTTGGTTGTTGAAAGATTGTTGTTTATACTATTTAGTTGTTATTTTGTTGTTGTTTATGTTGTTTACGATAATGATGTTTTTATTGCTTCGTTGTTGATCCAGTAAATGTTTTACCTGCTACCCGCCAAATACACCTGTAGTTGTAACATTTATTGCAGGATTCATTTTTCATTGTTTATACCGGATAAATAATAATAATATTTGTATTACTAATATTTTCTCATCATTCTTTTCTATTTTATCTATGATAAAAATGATCACAATAGTCATAAACAGTACAAGTAATATTGATATAAATAATAATAACAATAAAAATAATAATAATAACAATAAATAATAATAATGAAAATAACAATAATATTGTTGTGTCTGGCTCTGTTTTATTGCGTTTATGTTGTTTTGCTTTCTTATCGATGTTGTTCTTAAATGTTTAAGAAACCCAACAGATGTCGCTGGCGAGCGTACTTGGAGGTCCTTAAAATCAATACTATTGTTATAATTTTATTGTTATCAGTATTTCGGCTGTGCTGTTGTTGTTTGTGTTGTGCCTGATATTATTATTATTATTATTATTATTATTATTATTATTATAACTATTATTAAGTATGGAATTCAATTCAATGTAGATCAACTTAGTAACTAAACACGGATAGGCGATGAAATTTTGAAATGAGACACGAAATGTGATAACAGGAGAATTATAGTTTCATAATTTATTAATTATTTTAATATAATTAAATGAAATAATATATTTAGTTATGTTTATATAATATACTAATTCTTATAGTATAACTAATTGTAATGTTATTATTAACTGCAATAATATCAACCTTTTTGTTAACTGTGTCTGTAGCAGAGTAGCCAGGGTATTGTTCTTTGCTATAGATTAACTTTAAAAATTTGAGGAAGAATTTTTTAATTTATTCCGATGAGTTTTTGTATGAGTTGTTGTCAGTAACGTTTAGTAATGTTATAATTCAGTAGAAGTAGTAAAATGGGAGTATTTTTTTGAGGTAAAAGTTCGGAAATTGAAAAATTGACGTATGTAGCAATATTATATTTGTTGATTTATATATTTTAGTCTGGTTTGGTTTGTTGTTGATGTTTGTTGTTGTTGTTGATGTTGCTGCTGCTGTTATTGTTGTCGATTTTACTACTGTAGTTGTTGTTGATTTTATTGTTGTTGACGTTGTTGATGATGACGTCAAGACACGCACGAGCACTTCGCAAGTAGGGAGCTATTATTTTCCCTAACTCAGGAATTTGCCTTAGAACGGAATGCAAAGAAAGAAAAAAATTCAATCTAGAATTTGTTTGTTCACGCAATTAAAAGCAATGGACCAGATGATTTGTTTGTGTTGTGTAGTGTTTTGTTAGTAGGATGTAGTTAGGTGTGTCTTGTATCTGCTGAGATTATTTTAAAACATTCCTTTGAAATTTTCAATCCAATTCTACCAACAATAGTATTTAATCAAAAAAACTTCGAATTTTAAATTAATTAATTTAAAAAAATATTTTTCAAGATTTTAAATGTTTACCAAAAGGTTAAGAAAAATATTTATACGATTTTGAAATAAATAAACAGAATTTATAATTTAAATATAGTGTTATGTTATCAGTAGATTAAAAATAATAATCCATTAATCACATCATCATCGTATTCAACACAATGCAAAGTGAGTGAACGAACAAACGAATGAACGAATGAATGAATGAATAAAGAGGGAACAAATAAATGGATGAATGAAAGATTGAATTAACAAATGAATGAACGAACACTGCAACACATGCAATGCATGCATGTTCTCCAAAATTAACCAACCGCAATGAAAAATCAAAATGATGATGAAGATGATGACGACGACGACAATGATGATGATTATGCAAGTGTCAGTGATGATGATGATGATAATGGTGAAGATGATGACGACGAGGACAATGATGATGATTATGAAAGTGTCAGTGATGATGGAGATGGTGATGATGATAATGATGACGACGAAGACGATAACGACGATGATAATGACGTTGATGAATATAATGAAAATAATGTGAGGTGCATGAAAATGACGAGGTCAATAACATGATGAGGAAGATGATAAGAATAAAAATAAAAACAGAAAAAGATGAAGAAGATGACGATGATATGAGTTATATTAGATAAAACAAAGTAGAACAAACTTAATGGCAAGGTTATAAAAGCAGTATTATACAAAGAAAACATAATCAAAACGATGATAATAACGATGAGGATAACGTAAAGCAGTGGTGGGCAAACCTTTTGCTGTGAGGGCCGCAATGAGAACTATTATACCCTTGAAGGGCCGCTTATGTACTTAAATAACAAACTTTTTCGACCCGGGGGAGAATTTTTTCAAGATTTGTAGCTCCTTTTTTTGGTCATAATGTCTGGCTGACGACTTATTTTTTGGCAAACAAGACTATTTTCTCATAGCTAAGTTTGTATAAGGAAAAGATATTGTTATGTTTTGTATTTAATCTACCGCACTAACATTGTTTTGAATTATACTAAAATACCAGAATGATATGCCTAGACTCCAGAAGTACCACAATCTACTCTAAACTTGACACAAAAGTCAACTTTTGTTTTTTAAAACACTTACTTTATTAAGACAACAGTTAACGTTAATTCGCAATTTATGGGAGTGATTTTATAGTTCATGAGTTAAGTTGAAAACCATTGTTCGATTATTTAAAATTATGTTAATAATATTATTCCCTTAATATTTATTTATATTTTGATTATTTGATAATAAGAACTGGAAATACGATAATTAATAAATTTAAACAAATAATAATATTGACAATAATAATAATAATAATAAATTAAGGATTAATAAACAAAACGGCCACTAAATTGTTATTATTGACTTTTCAAAAAGTTCAACAACAACAACAACAGCAGCAACAACAACAGCAGCAGCAACAACATCAACAGCAACAGCAGCAACAGCAACAGCAGCAGCAACAACAACAACAACAACAACAACAATTAAATAAAAGAACAAGCATAAAAAACAAAGAAAGATAAACCAAACGATAAAAAAATGACGAAATTGTTTGCAAAGATCAAAAACATCACCCATTTCAGGATGAAAAAACAAAACAAAACTAATTAGAATGTTAGAGCAAAAAAAGTCATAAAAAATTATTTTTAAATTTTTCATGAAAGAAAATAAAACACAAATTCTACAGTATATGCTATATATCTTAGATCAGTTGTGTATTACTAAAACGATAAACAAGCTTTCCTTATGACACTTTTAATTTTTATCTCATTCACATGAGTTCTTTAAATTTTACTTTATACTTTAACTAAAGTTTTTACTTTACGCTAAAGTATAAATACTGATGGTTTAGCTGATCGTGACTGTCTCTGTGCCAAATTTGATATAAATGTATGTGTGTGTGTGTGTATATGTGTATATGTGTGTATGTGTATATGTATTAGTGTGTGTTGTTTTAAAAAAGTTTGAGTATGTGTGTTTACCATTATTTAGTTTCTAGATTTCACGGAAGAGGATTATGTATGCGTGCAATCCATCGTCTGAAGAATGAGGTTACGACAATAAACACACATGTAAATCAAGAATTGAAAGTGGCAAAAGATGATTGGAGGAACGTTTTCAGTCTATCCTATAAAAAATAAAATCGTTATCAAATAAATAAACAATAAAATTAACCCATAAATTAAAGACTGAATAAACATCAAATACAAACACTCACTCACCCTCTCTTTCTCTTTTTCTTTCTCTCTCTCTCACATACATACACACACAGAAAAGAATTATGAATGTGTGGATTTTTTAAAACATCAACAACGAATTTTCATATGCAAATGCCGGAACTCTTATGCTAAAGAAGAATGTGTTCATTTAAAGAGTAAGGGGTTCTCACCGTTTCTGTACCTCTCATTTTTTTTATAAATTTTTCCATTTTTCCATTTTTTAGAAAAAAATTATACTGGGAAAAATACGCTTTGTTCTTCAGATTATTTTAACACGTCAAAGTATGGTTTATTCTACTAGTTTATTATGGATTATTATTTAGTATACCATCAATCATCTTTATTATAACCAAAGTTTCTTGAAATGTTTGTTAGCGCGGCTGAATAATGACGCAAAGTTTTTGGTGAAGATTGTGTGTCGAGAAAATATTAAAAAAATCTTCTAAGTTTCCAGAGACATGTGATAGTCCAGTCCAGGTTTAGATACATGTGAATGGGATCAGTTATCTTTAATGATAATTGATAAGATTACGGAGAAATACATTAGTTAAAAGTTTAAAGTTTTTTTTTCATGTGTAAACCATGTCTTTTCGTCGTCATGCAATATTCTCGAAATATTGTAGTCACATGATGTCTGCTTGGACCTCATCATTACCATTTATATAAAAATAGTGATACTAATATACATCATCATCTTCATCATCTTCGTCATCTTCATACTCATTATCATCTTCATCTTCACCATCTTCATCATCTTTACCATCTTTATCATCATCTTCACCATCTTCATCATCCTCACAAACTTCATCAGCATTTTTTATCTTAGTTATCAAACCGCGCGCCAAGTAAACAGCAGAGCTCTTCAATATACACACATATATATTGTGTAATATATACCTACATAAATACATTCATACGTACATACATACATACACTCACTCTCTCTCTCTCACACACACACAAACACACACACTCATGTTAATATAAATTACATAAACAAAAAGCAATTCGTATATACCTTTTTTATAAAATGAACTTTTGTAAACGTATTTCCAACACACTAATTTATATATTCACAAACATAAACAGACATCATTACACACAACATACATACAAACAACAAACAAAAATATTTAGGATGGTTTGTTTATAAACAATAAACGTTTGTATTAT